TTTTTTTTTTTTTTTTTTTTTTTTTTTTTTTATTAAATGATACTCTAAGAAAATCTGCCAGCAGGTGGGGGTAAATATCGTTGAGTCGTTCATTCATTCGAATGGCTAATTCATTCAGGAATGAAGTAAACGGCTCTCTTTATGAATTCGTTCAAAACGCGGATTCATTCAGAAATTAAACACCGCTGTGTTGCTCGGAGATGCGCAAACAATTCTGCTATGGCTTTAAAGGTAATGTTCTCTGCTAAATTGAGCAAAATCCATATTATTGTGTTTAAAATATAACACAATATCAACTTCTTATTTACTGAAATGCTGTATAAAATCACATTTAAACTTGTGCTATTTGGGACAAAATCAGAACTCGTGTGATACTGCTCTCGCTATTGCTCTCGCTGCTCATGTGATATCGTAATCTAATTAATTACATGATGTTTCGATTAATTAATTTAATTAATCACAAAATAAATTTGACTGTGAAAATACCCACAAAAGATTATTTAAAGCTATTTTTGTGTTAAATGAGAAAGTATGAAGTAGACATTACAAATTGTAGCTTTAGAACTGTTTTATTTGATTCAACATAAAATTAAAGTTTAAAGTCATTGAAAATACTTATTTCACATAAACATGAATGGGTCTTTGAATCATTGGTTCACACGATTCATTCAAAATGCGGATTCATTCAGAAACTAAACAACGCTGTGTTTACTCGGAGACACACAACAATTCTGCTGTGGCTTTAAATGTAATATGTTCTCTGCTAAATTGAGCAAAATCCATATTATTGTGTTTAAAATATAACACAATATCAACTTCTTATTTACTGAAATGCTGTATAAAATCACATTTAAACTTGTGCTATTTGGGACAAAATCAGAACTCGTGTGATACTGCTCTCGCTATTGCTCTCGCTGCTCATGTGATATCGCTTATCATATGATATAAATGAGACAAAAACACATACAGGGGCATTTTTGCACCAATATCTTGAATTTTAGGGCATACCTGCATTTATGGAGTTGTTGCGCTGCACATCTCAGTATATTTTGTTCATACAATGAAAGTCATTGGTAACCAAAAGAGCTTTGTTACCAACAGTCTTTAAAATACCTTCTTTTATGTTCCATAAAAGAAAGGTTTGAAACGACATGAGGGTGAGTAAATGATGACCGCTATTGCTCTCGCTGCTCATGTGATATCGCTTATCATATGATATAAATGAGACAAAAACACATACAGGGGCATTTTTGCACCAATATCTTGAATTTTAGGGCATACCTGCATTTATGGAGTTGTTGCGCTGCATCGTATTTGTCAACAGTCAACTGTATGAAATGTAAGATGATGTACAGGTCTGGGGGCGGGGCCAGTGCGTTAACTGCGTTAAAATATTTTAATCGTGTTATTTTTTATAACTAATTAATTAAGTTAACGCGTTAAACTGACAGCCCTAATTAAAATACAAAAGTTATTTTAAATTGTAATAATATTTCCTAATATTATTGTTAATTATATATCCTATTATTATTATTATTATGATTAAGTAAATTCACTTGTTGAGCAAAAGAGACTTGTATGAACTGTATCCCACAACTGTATCCCAAGCAGACTTGGGTGAGTTCAGAAAACTGAAAAGTTGTAGGCCTTGAAGCACTGCTGATTTCTCTTTTCTGCGTTTTGTTCCCATAGGTGTTGGCCCTACCAGTATGTTAATCCCCTACTGTCAACAGAGCGCCATCCCTCTGCATTTAAAGTAATCTCTCTAAATGTCACAGGAAAAGCCCATGTCATGTATATTTAGTCTGTGCGTCTGGCATTTGCTCCTCCTTAAGAGAAGAGTGCACGGAGCTGCTGTAGTCTCGAGAGAGATGGAGGAGCCCAGATATTAAGGCTTCGCAAACATATGATACAGCACTTGGAAGGAGCAAAATTTAAGATGGCCACCTTGCTGCAGAACATTTAAGCATGTAGTTCGGAGGCAAAATTACAAGGTGAAGCAGAAAGGATGGAGAGACTGGAATATCCTGTAAATTCGTCATTGGGTTTAAACATTTCCAACCATTTTTTTTTTTTGTTGGGTGTGAACTATCCATTTAAGGAGAATGGGTTCTGCAACATTTTTCTGTATACTTCAGGCAGTAGTATATTTAATACTTTTATCCCATCCTCCTTCTCTTCCTGATTCCCTCAGATTTGAACTTTCCTCAAGAATGGTCTTTGATTTTAAAACTGACTCTGTGGTTTACATAACATTTACCGCAACCAGCACAAAAGCCTCCTTTCAGAACCAGTCAATAACAACAGAATACTTAATAAAAGCGAGTTATTTCTTTTAAGCCTCTACTATTGCACTGACCCTCACCAAAGAAACTTTGACAGGATCAATATCTTCACATAGACTACTTCCCACCAGTCTGCCTCTGCAATGTCAAACCGAATTGATCCGAGTTATGTCTAGCCTAACTTGCGGTGGAGTATATTTATTCTCTCCAGCACCAACTCACATTTGTGGCCGAGAGCCAAGGATAAGCCACTAGCGATCATTTGGTGCAAGCTCGCACTGTGCACAGCCAATAACTATTAGCGAATTCTTTCAGGTGTGTTTGGGAGGGAAGAATCGGGGCTGATAGTGAATTACACGCTTTCTGTAGAGTCCTTAAAAAGAGGAGGGCATAGTGGAGTCTATATATATTGCTTTCACGTGATTACAGCGGCCCGCTCCCTCAGGCATTTGCAGCAACAATATGGCTAATACGTTCGCTTGCGTTGGAAAACGTTTTTTTCCTTCTGTTTGAAAGCCATCCAGATAATTAGTGTCTAGGCTCACACTGTAATAAGACATTGTGACAGAATAAGAACAATGGGTCTTTGGGCTCTAGCCTGGTAAAGAGGGACACGCAGCGGCCCGTCTCTCAGTGCTGGCAAAGAGACAACTTGAGCATGTGCGTTGGGTCGCATCCCACTTTTCCTTAACAGCACGAGCAGGATGCGTTCCAGTGTTGTAAACGCTGCTGATGGCGTGTTTTCGCCTCACTCCAAAACAAGATGTATTTCAGATAATAAAATAGTCAAGGGGAAGCCAGCTCACTCGCCTGAGCGTCATCATTAAAAAGTTCTGCCTCAGCAAAGACGGCGAGAGGTGGAAAAAAACAGATTGCGGCCTTTTGCATCATTTCGCTCCACTTTCGAATGACTTCTGCAATCGCTCAATCATATTCGTGCCATCCTGTCGGTATTAGCGCGCAGGAGGCCGAGGCTGCATGGCGCGGAGGGACTTTAATCCGTGATGTCCTGCCACAACTATCAGCCTGCCATTGTCTCGCTCTGTCGTGTCCTTCATGATCGATTAGCCCGGGCTATAAAATAAGGGTTATCGATCAATGACAGTGGAGAGGTGAGAAAAAAAGGAAGGAGGGAGGGAGAGAGAGATGACAGCCGCAGACATGTCCGTTCCCTCAGCGAGGGAAAAAAGAGGGATGAGCCCCAGGGAATGAAGTGAGATTGTGTCTTGTGATGTTTATGCTGTTCATCACTGCAAACTGAAGTTCGCTAGCCAGCTAATCTGTTACATTGCAGCCTAGTGGGGAGGGCTGCGGTTATGTGGTGAAAGAGGAGCCGTTTCCACTTGCGTCTTGCTTGTATGTGTATTTTAAATGGCATACTGATTTATTGGTGTGATAGGGAAGCTCTGGGCGGTCTGAGCAGTTTATCACATCCCCGGATTTTCTTCTCTCCCCTCAGGTTATCCAAACATTGTAGCAACGTATGGCCGAGGATACACTGGTTTCGCCCCAAGCTACAGCTACCAATTCCCTGGTAAGTTCCATCTTGTTAAGCTCTGTATGGTGCTTCTCTCTCCTGCTGCCATCAGGTAATGTCCTCCCTGCTGACCGGCTAACTCACAAACACCAACAAGCACCCGTCCCTGCCTCTCGCTACAGCCCCATGCTGAAAACTTTGCCGTGGGACTTTATACTTAAATACACATTCACATACTCAAACATTATACATCTTAATGTACAAAGACACGCACATATTGCCTTGTTCGGCCCCCTGCTGAAGCCCCACTTCCACATGCTTGTAGCTTTACAGATAACACCGCCACACAAGATGTTTTTAAAACCCATGTGAGCTACAAACAAACCCATGGGCATCTCATTTTCTCTCCTTTCACAAATTTATCCCAGACAAAGAGGGGTCTTTTTTGTCTGGGATAAATGTGATGCAGCAAAGCAGCTCTATTATTTCACGGCTCAGTTCTCAGAACTGAGCTTTGATAACCTGATGGTCCAAAGCAGAATCAAAACGTGCATGGTATATTTTAGTATGATGTTCTGCTCACTGGTTTATCTGATACTGCTTTAATTGCACCTTATGTATTTCTGATACACGTGTGTTTGTTTTTCATCTCTACTGAAAAAAATAAAATAAAAAACAAAAACAATGGTCTAAGCCAGTCTGGTTAGCAGGTTTAAGCTGGACTATCTGGTCTAAGCAAGATCAGATAAAAAGTTTAAAAACATACAGTATTAAAAAAAAACGTGTACCATATAAACTAAGCTATATATCAATTTGTCCACCCACTAAACCAGGTCTGCCTAAAAGTATTTTGTGTATATTTACTTTTAGGCAGACCTCATTTAATGGGTGGATGAATTTGTTTATCACACTGGTCTTCCAACGTGACCAACTGTTAAAGGGGTCATTGGATGCCCATTTTCCACAAGTTGATATGATTCTTTAGGGTCTTAATGAAAAGTCTGTAACATAGTTTGGTTAAAATTTCTCAATGGTAGTGTAAAAACCTTTTTTACCCTGTCAAAAACAGCTTTTTCAGAGCAAGCCATTTTGTAGCATTTTCCTTTAAATGTTAATGAGCTCTGCTGACCCCACCCCTCTCTTCCGAGCTGCTCTCTGAGGGACTGTTTCCTTCGCATTCATCGTGAAACTTGCTAATTAGCACATTATTAGGAAAGGCGATTTGAAAAGATTCATTAAAAAACCTTATATTCACTTCTTCTGTAAGTGAAGCTGGATCACGAATGATTTGCACAACATTGCACGCATTTAGGCTACATAGACATAGCACATAGACTACATCTGCTCCGGCGGTGAAACACTGGCGGACTGATGGCAGTTCACTCAGGGCAGGTCTAAGGTAAGGAGCCAGTCCAGTCTGTGCTGAAACGCTACTGCCAATCAAACTATCGTGGGCGGGGCCTGTTTTTGTGATGTCACACAGACAGGCATCTGAGATAGGCTCGATTTGAGAAAGGGGTAAAGATTTTAGTAGATTAAAAAAAAAAAAAAACTGGGTGGATTTTTATCATTATAGGGTGATTGTGTACACACACTGCCAATACACATTTCAGTTCAAACAACATGTAAAAGTGCATGTAGCACTCAATGACCCCTTTAAATTCCCAAGACCCCTTTAAAAATCAGCAAACCAGTTTAGACTGGTCCGTGCTGTTTTACTGTCTTTTTTCAGCAAGCACCGCACTAGTCCCAAGTAGATGTATCTGCTGTATGATGCTTTTCATTAATGTAAAAATTATGCATGGAATAATTAAAAAAATATAGGAACTTCATTTGAATATTTTCTTCATAAACATGAGACAACAGCTCTTGACAATTTCAAAATGGTGTTGTGTTCATGCAGTTGATCTTCAGCTGTACATATGGAGCTGTGTATGTAGCCTCCCTCGTCTGCAATCAGAGTATCTTCAAGAGGGGTTGCAACCTTATTTATGTGCATACATTTTTCATGTTTGTCAGTTGCTCAGAGGCCCTCACTGGCGATGAAATTCTTATGTTGAAATGGCTGTTAAGCGTAAAGGTGGCTGTTTGTCACATCGAGAACACTTAGCCATCTTCCCCTTTGATGCCAGCCCACAAATAAACCTCAAACAATCCGTACAGCCGTCCCAAACTAACCATTGAGGGTGACTTAGATAAATAAACGAAGATGAACGAGAGTAATAGATAATGAGGAAGTGTAAATTGGCAGGCGCTTGAGGAAGAGCTACTGTGACTAAGCCCGGTTAGGGGGATTAAAACATCATTGTGGGCTCACTCTCTTCAGCGAGAAGTCTTAGCCCAGCGCCATGTTAGCAACAGTTCTGAGCCTAACAACATAGCAAATCACCTCTGAAATATATGTGTAGGCCTATATCTAAACGCTGAACTCCCACCTGATGCTAAAAATAACCGGCCGAATAAATACATGCAGGTCCGCCCATGCCGGAAGCGTCATAACGCTAGCTGAAAAGCAATCGAGTGTATCGAATGCATATTTTTAGTGATATCGACCCTGGATATAGAGCTGAAGGTCTTGCTGGCATATGACTCACTAGCAAAATAGGCTACAAACCGCTCGACTTAAACTGCAGTTCTAAGTGCAAAAAGGGGCCTTTTTTTCTCCGCTCATTTAATCCCCTGGCTTTTCTTGTAAAATGATCTGCCCAGTGCCACTCCAAAAGGGTCACCTCGCTCTTCCATTTCACATGTTGTCAATGACCTTGCTGTTGAACATATAGGGTGAAAAAGCTTTTTTTCCAGACTGCTCGTAGCACCTGGGATTTACTATAAGCTCAGCTGCAGCGAAGGTTAAAAATTGACTGTTGAAAAGAGAGAAGGTAATTTTTTTTCAAGGCACTTCTTGTAATCTGCACAGGTGACTGGATTTGTAACAGGTCACAGGGGATGGCATGCGTGTGTTTTCTCTGAATCTGTGCATGTATGCAAGTTACTGTGTGGACTTTTAATGAAAACAAGAACTACATATTGCTTATCAATGGCACTCGGGTGGAAGTAAATCCATGTAATGCTACAGTATGTGCGTATGATCGATATACAGTGTTTTTACCTTTCTAGTTCTCCTCAGGGAACAGCTTTGATCACGGATGGATTTAGTGTTTTCTTTGCCCCAAAGACATACAGGCATAAACAACCAATGGTGCTATGGCAGATTTTCTGAGCAAGTGTTGCTGCTATTGTCGTTTTCATACTAACATGTCCTCTGGTAGATAAGATAAGAAACAGCTGACAGGATCAGGCCACCTTCACTGTTATCTCCCCCTTCGCCAGGACACACACGCACACACATTGTTCTTCTCATTTTTATGAGACCGAGAAGGGTGTTTCAGAGGCTATAAATCCATGAGAAACACATCTAATGCTCAGTGTCTCTCCAGCAAGCCTGTGGATCCATTGGGTTTTCCCCAAGCTGTGAGAGAAGATCTTCTCATTTTGGCGTAAGTCTGTAGATTAAGGCTGCATTGATCCAGAGGAGCGCAAGTAGAGGTGGTTTTATAAAAGATAATTTTACAGTGCGACCCTGTTGTTGTTTTGTTTATTTCCTCTGTTTGATCTCGCCCCACATGAGTGCCAACCGCTTTTGGTTTTCCAAGTGGTGAATCATCTCTCCTCATCTTCATTCTGCCACGATTTCTTGCATTTGACGTGGCTGGTGCTGATGAGAGCTGAAGGTTGTTCCGACATTAAGGTCGCCGCCCCTCTCAGCCCAGTCGGAATGAACAGTGTGTTAGAACACCATCCTTTAGCTCTCATTCCTCCATTTATCTCTCCGTTCTCCTCAGGAGGAAGAACGGGGAGAGCTGAAATTGATGCTTCACTTTTGATTAGGGCCCAATCAGTTATGCAAACACTGAGGCTGTCGGGCACGGAGCCCCTCTCCATTCTCTACGGCGCAGCCCTCTGCCGGTCCCATCATACAGATAACACAACCGGGCTCGCAGGATATTGGAGTGCAAACAAACAAATAAAGATGGCTCTTTGGCTGACCAGAGATGCTCTTTGTGTGGGAGGCAAGGGAGACAGAGAAGGAGAGGAAATTGGGAGATGACAGAAACAAGGCGTGAGTGGCACTTGCTGAGGGAAGATATGATATGAGCCCTGCTCCGTTGAGCTTGGCAGCACCTACAGACTTAAGGAAAGCGGCACAATTTCTTCTCTTTGAACCATTGTGAGGAGAGGATCATAAAAGGAGGAGAAAAAGTGAGAGAGAGAGAGCAGATGATGAATAGGCAACAGTGAAGTCTCCTGCAGCTGCACTACCCCATTCAGCTCTTCACCCAAATTAGCTCTAATTGAAAAGGCTGCTTATTAACTCAGTAGGTATGAGGCAAACACATTCACCATGTTACATGCTCAAAACAGGGACCGCTGAGCTGGACACACACACGGTTCTTAAAAACGTATCCCGCCGCTTCATTTAGGGGTAATTCTTGACTGACGTGGGCAGATGTTATGTGTGTTTACGGAGTGCACGGTGGCAGAGGTCATTTTGGAGGTCGTCTCGTAGCGATAGATTAGACAGCCTGTCGCATGCGCCCTGCCTGAGGTAATCACGCTGATGACTCATCTGCTGTTCCCCACAGTCAGGCTGAATCCCTGTCATATCCCGCTCTGCACTGCAGAGGCGGTTTAACCAGTACAGGTTTGATTATCAGCTTGTATCAGATCCACAACTCAGACACTTGTCTGAATGGAGCAGCTTCTTTTGCCTTTAGGGAGGCACTGCAAAATGTCACATGACAGCGCAATCACAGCGTATTTTGATGTTTAATATACAGTTAAATGAAGAGGGAACCAGTCAGATTTCACTGTAGACAGGCAATTTCACTACTCATTGTCCTTTAGCTCATTGTTTGACGTGGTTAATTAAGAGATTATAAAGCAAAAGATGATCAGGCTACAGATACAGATTTACAGATGTAGTGTTTTTGTTTTTAATCTGTCAAACGAAAAGCTATATTTTGTCATTTGCTTAGTTTCTATTTCTTGCTTTACAC